GTACCGATGGGTAGGGTAGGTGGTCTCTATCCTGTCAGAACAACCATTGGTAGGGTGACGGTCCTGAGTACTGGTCACACTCAGGCGGAGGTAGGATAGTAGGGACAGGGGGTGCGCCGGGAGTATTAACGTACCGATGGGTAGGGTAGGTGGTCTCTATCCTGTCAGAACAACCATTAGCTGCCTCTGCCAGCAATCACCGCGGGTCTGGTCCTGGGCCTCTACAACACCCTGGGCTTAAAAAAAAAAAAAAAAAGAGGGTACGGTGCTGCTGTACGAGGGTGCCCTTTCTTTTTTTTTGTGTGTGTGTGGTGAGGGTGCCTTTTTTCTATGCGATGCATCATATAGATAGAACAGACGACCGAGCTTTACCGTTTTTTTTCCTCGCCCCCCCCCCCCCCCAAAAAAAAAAAAAAGCTTTACCGTTTTTTGGGGAGATAGATTCAGACCCGTCAGAATGGAAGACAGCGCGCTTTTTTTTTTTCAAATGGTGTCACTGACTGCCTTGAGCTGACCTGGCCCGGATAATTCACTCAGGACTCGAACTCGAGTGTGCCTTGGAAAAAACAAGGTATTTCAGAGATGTACCATTCAGCCACAGGAGGTGCTTTGTGATAGAGTCTCGTTATGCTAATCTACTCTGTATCGTTCCAATTGGGTATGTCAACTGAGGGCATACTCACACTAGGAGGATTTTTTTTTTTACTTTGTTTATGGACGAAATTGCGATCAGATGCATACATGTCCAGCCGTAAATGCCGTCAGATGCATTTAAGTTGAAGAGCATACTCAGACTAGGTCCTCAAACTCGCAAAATCACAAAATGAGCGGCCAGATCGAGTCGGTGTAAAGGAAGGACTAGATCTGGCCGCTCATTTTGCGATTTTGCGATTTGGCGATTTTGAGGGCCTAGTGTGAGTATGCCCTAAGATAGTGCAGGTGTGAGTAGGCCCTGTGCTAAGCCCGTTGGTGACAGTATGTTCTTTTTTTTCCTTTCTTTTCTTTTTTCTTTTTTTTTCTTTCGACAGTATGTTCTGATGTGTACCTGAGACATTATTCTCGTTTTGTTCTTTCAGTGAACATAAATACGATGCCACCACCTACCTGCCTACCTTCGTTTTTGTTGACTCCACCTTTATCTCAGGATGTAGCTCAGCCTGTGGACTGCCACGTGCAGGACTGCTGTACCTGCATGCGCAGTCCCTCAAGAGGGTAGCAGAGCAAACAAGGCACACATACTACAGTGTGAGGAGGGCATTAGCGCAATGAAATGCACCGTCTGTTACCCACCGTTTGCCAATCAATTGTAGCGAAAGATTGAAAAAGGAGTGAAATGCCGAAATTGTGAAATAACAAGATGGTACGATAGTCACAGTCACAAGAAGAGCGCTCTCTACGTATAGCTTGCTCTTGCTCATCGTTTTCGAAGATGTTTCTCCATTGTTTTTTTTTTTTTTTTTTTCCCTCCACTTTTGCGTCCGCAAGCGGCTGGAGTCGAGCAGCTGCACAACTGCCTCTTCGTTGGAAAGCAAATTTAACAAAAGACTACAAAGATGAATCGGCTTAGCTCGACTCCAGCCGGTGCAGCTCTTGGTGGTAGTAGCATAAGAAAAAAAAGCAAACAAATGACATTTGGCGGCCACATCCATAATAAACAATAAATGTGTTTTTCTAAGATATAGCCCCACCCCGTACGTACGGAACAACAACAACCACCCTCCTGCTCCTTCGAGCATTTGCAAAATTTGCGTTTTTGCTGGCTATGTGTGAGTATGCCCTTACACCATATATGTATGTAGCACATTCAGCGAGAGACCCAGACAGGCACACTGCCCGCAGTTTCTTTCACAGCTCCCTTAACATTAAAACAACAAGGCAAGAAAGAGGAAAACGACGGACCCCCGACCCCTACCTAGGTAGCACAACTCTTTCCAGAACGGTTACCCGCCGCGTATTGCACACGGCATTAGACTCTGCTGCTCTGCGTTTCACCGATCACGGCGAGAATTTGCTGGCGCACGCCGCACCCATTAGCTTGCAGAAGGAGGCAGTTTCCCCCGCCTATCACTTCCGCCTCACCGCCAAAGTATGCCACACTGAACACTATTACAGCTATTACAGCTGTTGACATCTGCTCCACAGAGGTCTTCCACGTCTGGTGAGTGCCCTCCTCTTCCTCCCTTTCCTTCTCCTTATCCCCCCCCCCCCCCTCTCCTGTTGTTTCTTTTCGTCCTCTTCGTCATCCTCCCCCTGCTGCAGCTGCTGCTCTTTCTTCCTCTTCTCTTCTTCCTTCTTCTTCTTCTTCTTCTTCTTCTTCTTCTTCTTCTTCTGCATCTTCTTCTTCTTCTTCTTCTTCTTCTTCTTCTTCTTCTGCTTCTGCTTCTGCTTCTGCTTCTTTTTGCTTCTGCTTCTTCTTCTTCTTCTGCTTCTGCTGCTGCTGCTGCTGCTTCTGCTCTTTGTCCTTATGAGCGCCCTTTTTTCGTTCTTCTCGTCGCCGTCGTCGTCATCCGGGTGCTGCTTAGTAGCGATGTGTGAGTAGAGAGCAGTACGGGGCGCAAGGCCAGGCAAATTTTTGATGAGGAATTTTGCCGATATCCCTACGTCGTGACAGACCAGGGCCATTCCTGTGGCCCGGTTGGAAATTCAAGGGTCAGGCTGGTAGTCGTAAGGCCTGGACATCGGCACGGACACTACCCGTCTTCCCCCGAACACAACGCACGCTCGTTTTGCCCGTACCGGACCGGAAAGATAGCTTGTATGCATTCATTATCAGGGTGCGTTATGTTCGGGGGAAGACTGGTAAGACTTGGTGCCGTACTTGATATCCCAACCCTGGACGCGTGGCATAAACTGACGTATATACTTTGGAGAAAAGTCCAAATGGGTGGTGGGTTGAGTCGGCGACGAAAAGGGCCCGGTTTATGACATGGGGTAGGGGGTAGAGATCTGTCGGCTGCTCAATCGACAGACGTCCTGTTCAGAGCAACTGGGGACTTGCCTGGACAGACTGACTGACAGCGAGGGAGAGCAGTCAGTCTGTTCGACTGGGGGGGGGGCGGTGTCATTTTTTTTTTATTTAAATTTTAATATTAAATTTGGACCATTTCTCGATTTATGCGTGTCATCCTTGAAAGCGGAGGGGTTATGCTAATCTATCGTTGCAATTGTTACGGAGGTCCCGAAGGACAAGGCGGTGTCATTGAAGGGCAGTCGACCTGGAGACTGAGTGAATGCGTGAATGCGTGAATGCGTGCGTGCGTGTACTGTGTTGGTAAATGAGGGGGGAGGCCGGGACTACCCCTCTATGCTTGGGTATTGGGTGTTGGGAAGGGTGGGTCTCGGGATTGTGGCCAAAAAGACCCCTGAGGAGGCTGGTACGCATCCAGCCGAAATAAATCGTTTATTGGGGGACCGTGAGCGCTCAGAGCTTGATTGAACACGGTGGCTCAGTCTGTGCAACAACGATTTATTTGTGGAAAGCATGGACATGGACTTGTAGTAGTGATTGGCCTACGGTAGCTATCACACATCACGTTTCTTCTTCTTCTCCTTCTTCTTCTCCTCTTCCTCCCGCATTCCTCCTCCTCTTCCTTCTTCTCCGTATACTGTTCATTTCTTCTCCTCCTCCTGCTGAGAAGAATTAGCTTCTTCCTCCTGCTAAAAAAATAAAATAAAAAAATAAAAAAAAATTGCTCTCTTCCTTAAAGTTCCTTTTCTCAGTGAAAACTATAAATACTTTGATATTCTAAGAATTGTTTAATAAGACGCCGTTGAATTGCAAACGGGATAACTCTAATAAAGTGAATATCCAAAATTCTTTGATTCTTGTTTATTCTTTCAATTTTGTTTGCCGTCGTCCTCTTCCTCCTCTTGGCGGTGCCGTTGTCTCTCTTGTTCTTCAGAAGCTTCACTATTCTTTTTCTTGCCTTCCTCCTCCTACTCCTCTTACTTCCTCCTCTACCAGAATTATCAACACCGCCATCATCTCTACCACCTACACTAAGGGCGAGATCCCACTGGCAAAGAAGATTGGAATAAGTGTCTGAATCTGGACGTCTTTGTGGATAGGTGCAAAAGATTGTGATTGATCTGCTTTTCTGCATCTCTATGTGGAACACGTCCAGATTCATCATACACACTTATTCCAATCCTCTTTGCCAGTGGGATCTCGCCCTAAGCTAACACATCCAGCACCAGCATCTCCTCCAGCATGGTACTTAGGCTGCGCGTGACGAACTGAGCTCTGCTTTGTAGCCTTCGGCCCGGCCACGTGATCCTGCTACCGAGAACCGAGAGAGCGGTTGCCATCACGTGGCCGGCCACGGGACGGCACGGCACTTCCCTGGCCAATGGCAGGCCCGGCCACGTGATGCCTTCGGGAAGAGGGGCGTCAACACTTCCGTCGCCCTGATGCTCACGTCACGCATTAGGAATAGTAAGAAGATATCGTCATCGTCGTTATCATGATATAGTATGAAGATGATCACTACGTCCTGCTCCTCTTCTTCTTCTTCTTCTTCTCTCTCTCTCTCTCTCTCTCTCTCTCTCTCTCTCTCTCTCTCTCTCTCTCTCTCTCTCTCTCTCTCTCTCTCCCTCTCTCTCTCTCTCTC